CAAAAGATTCAAGGTGCTCTTCTACGAGTTCTTGCATTTTTTTTGCATTGCAACTTCCAAAAATTCTTACCACTCCAAGATTGATGCTTTTTTGGCAGGCAAAATGCAGATTTATATTCAGGAATCTCCGGTTACCGATTTGGGCCATTCATCCATGGTAATGGAGAATTTCTTTGATTGGGCAATATCTTTTTTAATATAATTTTTGATTTTTTGTTTCACAGTTTCCATATGGTTATGAACAAGAGCCATTACAGATTTTTCGTTGGCTGGAAGCTTCATAACCCTTAAGGCCCCATGATTGTCGAATAAACTCTGACTGAGTGATTTGATGAATTGATAAACCATCTACTGCAGCCATTTTTGAAACAATCTCTTCAATTCTTGTTTTGACTACTAAATTATCCAAAGATTTTGTTTTTTTAGCTGTCGTTTCTGCCTCTGCTTTGTCAACATCAATGTTATGAATGCTGCTTAGATGACGATGCATTGTTGATGTATTTCCATTCAAAATGGAAATTTTTTTATTGCATTCATTGCAGCATGCATAATTTTGGTCCGCCTTGGCGAATTGACTCCAAACGATTGATCTTTTGTTTTTCAGCATGATTACTATTCTAGAAAAAAAAATAGAAAATACTATTCTAGAATATGCATGTATTCACGGCTGAAACTCCAGTAATATTAACCATTTTTACCAAAATATTGCTAAAATTTCGACTAAATTTGTGTTGAAATATTAGTAATTGGATTTTTATTGGTTAAAAGGAAGAGTAGCTTTCTGTCACGTCCGATGCATTAGCTTTCTGTCAGGTCCGAAGTATTCTGAAACTTAATCCCATTCTATTTGTTTATGATTTGTTAAAATATGATCTGCTTGTATCTCTGGTTATATTTCTGCTTGTGTCTATGTGTATTACTCTGTAATAAATGTTTGTTTTGCAAAACACGGCATTTTCAATGTTCAACAATTTGTAATTTTATTTCTTTACCGATACTAAGAAAATCATTATTTAATATTACATACACGTTACTACTTAAAAATAAAAGTATATTGTTTCTATCGGTAAAGATTAAAAATCTTTTCATTTCTACGTACTGTATGTACTGTAGGCGGCAACAAATTCATCGCTTTACCAAAACAAGTTTCAACACTGTTCAGGTAAAAGTACTGGTAAAAGTAAAAGCATTATTTTATTGTACATATTTATATTCCTTTTATGGTTTAACTTTATTTATCTGTAATACAATTGCAAAAGTTTTAGTTTTTATGTACTTAAAAAAGGAGCAGTTTTATGACACCAATAAAATGTCTTCTAGGATTCTTAAGAAATATGTTGACAAATAAATTAAAAATAAAATGCAGAATGAAAAACATTTTGTATGTACAGAGCTTGAAAGTCCGTCGGGCTTTGATTCAAGTATTGAGTACTCGAAAATGACCAAAAATTATCGAGTATCAAGCTCGAGCCTAAGCTTGTTCCAAACTCTACCTGCAGGTGATATATTGGTCATGAGTCAGCATTGCTTTCCTTCGCTGACCTCCACCAATCTTTCTTACAGTTGCACCTGTTGTTTGGAAGGCTTTTGAAAAAACACTTTATCAATTCCAAACTTTTGGGTGACAGATATCAAGCTTGCTAATCATTCTACTATGCATAAAGGTATCCTGATGTTTTTTTGTATCCATATAGAATGTTCCAGCTCATTTTCACTTGTGGAAGAAGTGAAAGAATGTCTGGAAATGCACCTTCCTTTTTTTTTTTTTTTTTTTTTTTAAAGTTGCCTTGCACTGTACTTGCTAATGCCTCATGTTTTGCTTGCCCTGATGTACTCTCTGGCGTCATGATGCGTATGCACCACCTCTCTGTTGAGTTGGCTTTTTATTGTACTGATCGTAGAAAGCCCTTTTCAACAATGTTCTGGTTGTACATTGAAAAATGAATTTGTTGCTTAAGAATTGTACACTAATGTATATTGTAAAGTCCTATTTTGCCAGATCTGTTTAGAATGCTGTGAGTGCAAATTCTCAACAGGTGATTGTTTGAATCTATTATTGCTTTGTCAGTGGTATCCAGGTGTTCCTTTTTCCCATTTAACAGATGTTAATTCTCCCAACCATTTGCAAATGAACTCGAATGTAGTTACAAATATAATTCTTTTTTAAATGCAAGAAAAAATACAATAATAGCAGTTAATTTATAGCTTTTTCTTTAAAACAGATTGTGGCTTACTGAATATCTATTTAGATTTTGTGGAAAGAAAAGTGCAGTGAGTTTGTTGTGATAACCCTTATCCATAATTGGTGCTAAATCATGCTGCTTGATGGCCATTTAAAGGTTGACAGGATATTACGTAAGTACAGTACAAAGTCCATAATCCGAACGTCCATTATCCGGAATGATCTATAATTCGGACCTCAAAGACACAAACTTTACGCATGCGCGTAAAGTATGCACATACATTACACATGTGCGCTTTGAAAGAAATGTTTAATAAAGTAAACAAATAAATATTAACCTTTTTTTTTTGGTAAAATGTGATACCCTTTAGATCATAATTGCTCTTTATTTCATAAATTATGGTTTTATATTTTTAATTGTATAATTTCTGCATGCCATCTTACCAGATTTAAATTGATGATCTATAATGTGGAAGTCCCAACGAGTCCGGATTACATACTTTGTACTGTACGTTTTTCCGTACTGCAATAACCAAAGGTTATGTGTAAAAAAGAATTACACATTATTAACCAAGTGCTTTTTGCATTTTGGATGCTATTTTATTAAAATAAGTGTACAATTGAATTACATGGGTATTTAGATGTATTAATTACATAAATGTGTTTTATGTTAATATTCCATTACAATTATAAATTCCACTCTTCATGATGTATTATATAAAAAGGAAAATATATATATATATATGTGTGTGCAGCTTAATACCATACTTTGGATATAAAGAAGTTCGTTTTCGGGAGGGGAAACTTCAGTACTATGGAAACTTTCTGTTCATTAAGCTACAGATCTTATCTAGCATGACCCCTAGTGACCGCCTAATCTTTTAACAATTTCTTCCTGATGTACTGAATGAGCTTCAACTCTTTACTGGATATCTACTCGACTTTATATTTCTCTCTCTCTCTATATATATGCATGTAGGAGAAGTTTCTGTAGGCAAGAGTTTCGAAACTACTTTGGTTTTCTAAAATTTGGTTTTCTACTTTTTTTTAAAATTCTTGTCTTTTAATTGCTAATTTCTCAAAATTCCACTTGTTTAAATTTCTTTTTCACTACATTGGTATTACTTTTGGTTTTGACTTTTACTCTTGTCTACATGGATGACAAAACACATATTGAGTGATTGAAGAGTTAGGTTTAGAAGCAACTTCCCCTTGATAAGCATGTCTCCTGCCTGCTCAACAATCATTCACTTATGCATTTTTCTTTTTTTAGTATTAAATAATTTTTAGGATTTCATATTTATTCATGGATTTTGATACTTGCACTTGATTTACATATGCTCTCAGAATTTAAATAATATTGTAGATTATATCGCAACAATAATTAAACATTTATTTGTTTGCATTAAATTTCATTTAAATTAACTTTAAATTTGCTTTTTACAAATAGAGAATGTTTGTTAAATTCATATTTCTATATATCCATGCTTTTGAAACATTACTGCTTTATTGTTTTGTTAGTCGCACAACTATATCTGTTATAAGTATTCGTCCACTTCTCATGACATAAAACTACAAAAGTAATTAGTTTTTTTTGCAGTTGTTCTGCCATGCATTTTTTTTTTCTTTTCAGCAAAGTAGCATATAAATGTAGATCAAAAAGTCATCTATGATTTCAATTTGGGTTATGTCCTATTACTGATAGAAATTTTAATTGTCAACTCTGTGGTTCCAACATTTAACTTAATTTAATAAAATTTGATGTCTCTTGCTGAAATTCTGTAACCATCTATAGATACTTTGTATTTAATTTTTTCCAGTTTTAGATTAATTTTCAGTAACTGGTTACTTTCATATTACCCTATTGATCATGAAAGTTGGTGGCAGTCCTGCCATAGTCGTGCCAATCGTTTCCATGGAATTCTGAAGGATTGATCCCTCTTTACTAAATAAATAATTGTTATTCCAAGTACTTTGTTTTTGCACTTATGAAAAGGCTTCTATTGATTTCTATTATTTTGTTAGGCTCACCCATTTTATTAAAAGTTCTTTTTGCAACACAATGAGATGAAAATAATTGTTGGTTGATAATTATTTAAATCTATCATTGTCTTGACTGCCATATTCAGCTGACCATATCATATCCATTAGTATGCGCTTTTTTTTTAATGGTAGGATACAATAACTTTGAAAATAATGCACTGTTTTTTTGTTTTGTAGAAAGCAGGTTCCAAATTTTAATAATTATTTTTTAAATGCAAGAAAAATATAAAGCACTAACAGTTAATGTATCCTTGTTTACTGAAACAAAAGGTGACTTATTGAGAATCAGTCACTAAAAATGTGAAGAGCTAAGAGATTAAAGAAATAATATAAAAGATGGCCACAGTATTTTTTAATGATCTATTTATGAATATTGGTAATTTCTCAGGAAAACTCTATTTTTGTTATTGGCTCTGAGTTTAACAGTCTTTTTTTTATCATTATTCAGTATTGCTTACATTCAGTTTTGCACTGAACTGACCAACTGAGAGAATTTGATACTAATGATGAGTAGTCACTTTATGAAGACAGGCTGTACTGAAGTCAGATTTTACTAGATTTACAATTTAAGAACTTGTATACACATTCCTACTGACTGTTATTTGCATGAAAATATATGCTGAAAAACAGAATTAAGTGATTTAATTTTTATTCTGTATTTGCTTCTAAATTTATTTCCTTTCTTTTATGTTCATGCTTTATGTGATGCTGAGAGTTACTTATAATTACAATTAAGTTTTTATAACATAATGTTCATAATAAATCTATATTCCAGGTACAGGAGAATCTGGAAAAAGTACTTTCATAAAACAAATGAGAATTATTCATGGTTCTGGATACTCAGATGAAGACAAAAGGAGTTTCATTAAACTAGTTTATCAAAATATATTTATGGCTATGCAGAGCATGGTTAAAGCCATGGAACTACTTGAAATTGAATATAAAGATCCTGCAAATTATGTAAGCTTCCTTTTCAATGGAATTTAAAGATTGCTTTTACATAAAAATATTTTTTGTTTAATTAAAGTTTGGATTATGGTAAGTAAGAAATACCTTCATTTTTACTAAAGCCATGGAAATGCTTCAAATTGAATAATACTGCAAATTATGTCAGGTCCTTTTTTAAAGGAATTTAAAAATGGTTTTTGCATAGAAATATTTATTAATTTAATTAAGTTTGGATTATAGTAATTATTTATAGTAGTATTATAGTAATTATTATAGCATTTAAGTTTGGATTATAGTAAATTAGAGAGATTTTCATTTTTAGTAATATATATCCTGGTATTTTTTTATTAATCGCTGCCTGCCAGTAAGTCCACCAGGGGCCTTGATGGTCACTAAACATTGATAGTTTGATCTGGGGCATGAATCCCGGAGAATGGGCTGGCTGGCTGAGTTATTTTTATTAGTTTCCCCATGTGTAGTGCATATGCAAGCCAGTTTCATTAAGTCCTCAGCAAAGGCATTCCTTCCCTTAGGCAGATAGCCCTCAATGTGCTCTGTCATTATCAAATAAAACCAAACTACCTGCCAATATCCCTTCACCAATTTTTTGGTACCTTCGGAAATGAAATTTATTTTGGACATCAGTAGATCAGGAAAACAGGCTTTTTGAATTATATGTGTTAGAAAACACATATAATTTAGCAGTTGCATTCAAAATTGCATCAGATTATTATTCTTTACAACTTGTTTTTGTTTTCTTAAGACAAAGATACTAAATAAGAAAGTGAGTACTTTTCTTGATTCAATACCTACTTCTTATTCTAACATTGTATCAACTGTTGACATTATGTATCATGTACAGTTTCATTGCAAAAAAATAGCAACATTCATATTTTTATCAGGAGCATAGCTAGAGAGTTCGTAGAGAAATTCTTTTACATAACTATATCATTTTTTAAACTTACTATTTTTATTCTTCATAGTATGCATCTGATAATTTCTCATTTATGACCTGAAATCTCATAAAACTTAAAATTTGCATAAGCTGAGTTCACAAGTGTTACAAATCTGTAGTCTTCTCTATAATATGGTAAAAGCTGTACTGTCCTGAGAGCTAAAAAGATGCCAAATGCTGGATATTTGAAAATTTTATATAACTGAATATATAAAAAAAAGTTTGTGGTAGAAAAGCCAAATAAAGAAGAAATTTCTAGCTTGACATTCTAAACATTTTCATTTGTTATCAGCTTGAATATCAAAAGTCTGCATGCAAAATTCTGTAAGATTTTGAAAAGGAAAGCATTTCAGTTTTGAAAGCCAATGAATTTCGTTAGTTATTAAGAAATGGGTTAATCTTTGGATTATGGTAACTTGGAGATTTTATGACGAAAATTTGGCGACCAACCCTGCTACAGCAACCTGCTAGTTTTTGTTTGGACGCCATTTTGTTTTCACGAAGTAAAGGCATTTTTTTTTTTTTTCCCTCAACATTTTTTTCCAACAATGTGCTAGCCGAATTACGCTTATGCTAGAACTTTTATGGAACAAAAGTGCTTAATCATGATGAAGATTAGGTGCGAAATTGGGACAAAGTGCAGAATCACCCACAGCTTGCCGCGTTTTTAAGAATAGCACATACATGGTATCATCCATGTACACATCGACCTATTTTTACTTAAAAAAACATCCCAGAATTGCACAAAAATCGCATTGCGCACACTCTTGATTTTATCTATGTACACTGCTAAAGTCCTAGCTAGTAACCTTTATCGCCTTACCAAAATTTCGCCAAACTACCTGTTACCATATTCCAAAGATTAGCCAAGAAATGTTATTAAGATATAAGTCTGTCTTGAATATCATCTGTTATGCTAACTTATGAAATAGTGCATATCTCTTTGAATATCATCTGTTATGCTACCTTATGAAATAGTGCATATCTCTTGAATTAAAATAATTGATAGAAACTGGTACTTTGTTACCACTATATTTCATAATAATTTATTTAGTATATTTTTAGGAAAATGCTCAACTTATTCGAAGTGTTGATTTTGAAACAGTCATTGCATTTGAAAGTCAGTTTGTTAATGCAATCAGAGCATTATGGAATGATACTGGTATTCAAGAATGTTATGACAGAAGGAGAGAATACCAGCTCACAGATTCAGCCAAGTAGTAAGTAAACTTTAAATTTGAGTTATTCAGTATATTGTTATTGGTGTCTCTTTATAATGAATATTACAGTAATCTAAAAATAGTTTTTTTTTTTTTTTTTTTTTAATGTGAGTACATTTTAGGTGATTTTATTTTCTTGTCATTGTTTCTCATTCTTTTTTATGAACTCTAATAGACTTATTTCCCCCCCTCCCCAAAATTCAGTTATCTTAGTGATTTGGAGCGAATTGCACTTCCAGATTACTTGCCAACACAACAGGATATTCTCCGAGTAAGAGTTCCAACTACTGGAGTAATTGAATACCCTTTTGATTTGAATTCTATCATATTTAGGTCAGTTAATTTTAAACTCTGTGTTTGATTATGTAGAGTTTAAAAAATTTATGCCTCTTCTACCCAAAATTAATATTGATTTTGTTTTTTAATTCTATTGTTATTTTAATCCATGATTAAAAATAACTTTCATATTTTTAGAATGGTGGATGTTGGGGGACAGCGTTCTGAAAGACGGAAATGGATTCATTGTTTTGAAAATGTCACATCTATAATATTTTTAGTTGCCTTGAGTGAATATGATCAAATATTGTTCGAATCAGATAATGAAGTAATTATATTTTATTGCTTAAAAACATTTTTAATGTATTAAATTAAAATTGGAAATGTAAATGTGATTTTTCTTATTTAATTTGTACACATTTAACAGTTTAAGAATTTGCTATTAAAGTATTTTCATTTTTCATTGAGAATTTTTCAAAACTAAGAATAATGATTAGCATTTTAGCTGTATTTAATAAAAAACTTAAATATGCATGGTATTTTAGAAGTATCAGTAGGAAAATATTTATTGTATATTATCTTTTATTATATGCAAATGCTTGAGAAAGTTTTAATGCTAATTTTTTTAACTATATTTAAAGGATTATATATATATATACTATGATATTTGTGATATATGAATTAGATTTCATTGTTTTTGTATGTTTCTTGATTATAAAAAGTATGTAATGAAAATTTCCATTTCATTAGTTTGATATAATTTATAGTACTTTATTTTTGAATATTTTCCTGTTGCATGTATGTTTGTTCATGCACAAGAAAAATCAAAGGAACGACTATAAAAAGGAGTTTTCCCAAGTTTAGTGAAAGGTGATTCATAGCTCAAGTTATCACATAGTGCAGTTTAATTCGCAAAGATACAGTTCTTCGGACACCTCAGGGATATCATCTTGGCAGTTAGTCATCACAGGTTGAAGAAGAAATGGGAGACCACACCACAGTTCACACAGTTGAAGTTTGACCGTATCAGCACCTCTTGATATGAGATCCGCAGGGTTCTGTTTAGATGGGACGTAATGCCACTGTCGCAACTCCGTCATTTCTTGAAACATCGCATCTCGATTAGCAACAAACGTTTTCATATAACAGGGCTGCTTTTTCAGCCAAGCCAAGACTATCGAAGAGTCACTCCAGAAAAATACATTATTCACATTAAGTTTCCGAGCAGATATTACTCGAGTCATTAACTTCGCAAGCAAAACAGCTGCGCATAACTATAATCTTGGTATGGTAACTTGCTTTGTAGGAGAAACTTTTGATTTACTTGTTACCAGCCTTATCTCCATATTGGTGGACGGATTTACAATAAACTGCAGCTCCATAAGCTAACTTAGAGGTGTCACAAAATCTGTGTAACTCAATAACAATTGCTTCTGCAACAAGAATGCATTTAATGTTAATTTCATTTAATACATTTTATGCTAATTTCTAATTTACATATACGTGGCAGTTCAGAGAAAAACAGTTGCCATTCTTTGGCTTCTTTTTCAGGTAGAAGATTGTCCCAATTGAGTTTCAAAACCCATAGTCTCTGAAGAAATATTTTAGCTTTAGCTATCACAGGACCCAGTAAACCAAGTGGGTCAAAGATTCTCGCTATTGTTGACAAAACTTGCCTTTTAGTAATTTTGCACTCATTTTCTAGTTTCACTTTAAAATTAAAACAATCTTTATCTGCTTTCCTGGAAACACCAAGGGCTCACAGTTCATTTGTGCACTGAAATGTGTATTGATCATCAATGTTAACTTCAAGCTTCGGATTGTTGCTACACCATTTGTGCAGAGTCATATTTGCACTTTTTAAAATCTCAATTAATTCATGCTGTAGAGTCATAGTTGCACTTTTTAAAATCTCAATTAATTCATGCTGTAGCTCTTTTGCAAAACTCAATGAACTGGACCCTGTATCCATGTAAAACTCACTCTGTGGAACTGCAGCTGCTAATGGAAAATTTGTGAACTCATTGACGTAATGTTCTCATGGCTAAAAAAGGTGCATTTACTGTGCCATAGGTGACTGTGTTCAACTCAAAGATTTTAATTAGACCATTAATTGACTCTTTCCACAAAATTCTCTGCAGCTGCCATTGAGTAGGATGAATCGATATCATTCGATACATCTTTCTGATATCCGCTGTAAAAGCATAAATATGTTTTTGGAAAAGTACCATAATTGAAAACAAGTCCTCTTGAATAACACCACCATTATACTGAATTGAATTCAGCCTTTTGACGTTGCAGCCGAACCATTGAACACTACTCTCAAAGGTGTCGAACTTTTCTCAGGGCAATAAATACCAAAGTGTGGAATATAATATTTCCCCTTTTGCTCATCTTCATCTTTCACTTCAGTCATGCGACCTAGTTCACTATATTCATGTAGAAAATGTACATAAGTATTTTCATCCTTACTTACGAGTCCACAATGATTCACCTCTTAAGCGATTGTTTCGAATTCCCTAACACATTGATCTTCCTTAAACGGTATCTTGAGTACATATTTTTCGGTTTCAGTCCTAGAATTTTTTGAGAAAATGCTGTTCACAAATTTCTGCTCTTTACTCTTGGAAATCTGAGACTTTCTTTCTATTTTTCGATTTCCCAAAACTCTCTTTCCAAATTATCTGTATAAGCCCATATGTATTTACTTTCCCTTTACAGGAAGAGTCCCACTTACAACCTAGCCGAAAACACTATTTTTAATCTTAATTGAATTCTGAAGGAATTTGAGGTTTTAAAAGCTCATGAAATGTTCTGCCTATCAGAATTCAATTGGCCTGGCTCAAAATTTGTCATCTGCTAAATTGTTATCTAAAATGAAACATTAATTTAGTGCCTAGAGGTGTATATTCTGTTATTTTAGGACCCCAAAAAATTTAACTATCGAACTCTTGCTCTATTTAAAATTGCACTCCTACTAAAATTTAGTGCTTTTCTAATTTATATTAATTATTCCTGAACAGAAAATTCTTTTCTCCCTTTAATTGACGCAAATATGCTAACCTTTTGCTCATAAAATTTGAAATGGCACCCACGATGCATCTTTAATTGAACAAACAAAAGTGCTGAGTAAGACAGCTTTTAATTCATTTGGGAGATTGCATGTTGTTGAGAATAAATTTTGATCAGTACTCGTTTTAGCTTGCAGAGGTTCAAATGATGGAGCCAAAGCATTCAAATTCGAATGAGTATTTTTATTTTCATAACTCGCCACCTATGCAACTATGTTTATTTTTTGTTCATGAGGGAAATGAGGAGTCACGTGATGTTCCTTTTTACAAATACCGCAAGAGAATTTATTACTGCAATTAATCACCTTATGATTTTCTAAACAGTTGAAACATAGCTGTTTAGATTTCACTAGCCCAACTCTATCGCTAACTGTCATGTTTTTATAAACAAGGCATTTGTACAAAGGATGAATTTCATTGCATGATAAAATACATTTCGAATTTTTTACATCAGTTAGAAAAACCTTTGACGTATTTTTAGGATAGCGTGATTTGTGGGTCGACATTCCCTAAACACATTGGATCTTTCCTTAACGGTATAGAAGATTTCCCCTTTTTTTCACTTTTTTTTTCTTTTTTCCCTTCTTCTTCTTTTTTTTCTTCTTTTTTTTTTTATTTTTTCTTCCCTTTTTTTTTTTTTTTTTTTCTTTTTTTTTTTTTTTTTTTTTTTTTTTTTTTTTTTTTTTTTTTTTTTTTTTTTTTCTTTTTCTTTTTTCTTTTTTTTTTTTTTTTTTTTTTTTTTTTTTTTCTTTTTTTTTTTTTTTTCACGAAGTCCTATAATCTTGGGGGTGAGAAAAATTTTCCTAAACTGGGGGGTGGAAATCTGAAGCTTCACTAACATTTTCTTGAATAAAAATCTTTCCAAATCTTAAAAGTACAATGACATTTGTGGCTTTTTTCTCCCAACCATTTAGAAGACTTTCTGATTTAAATTTCTCTGGAACACTTTTTAAATGAATGCCACTAACGAGAAAAGATTAATACATCCCACCTTCCGGTCTCAAATAACTGGTCAATTTTAATTGCTTAATTCCTTGTCGAAAAATATACTGCCTTTTTTTGTGGTAACCAAGCTTTCGCTGATGATTTCGTGCAACAAACTTCGCGAAATTTGTGGAAAACTCAAGAAAGTTCCGTTATTGTGAAATTTCGATTTCACGGACTTTAGCATCGATTTTTCGAGAAGTTCGGCGGTCACTATGCTGGTCCCCACTTCGATCTTCGTCGTGAACAGCATTTTGAAATCTTATGACCCACTGACGCACTCCACCTTCAGTGATAATGTTTCCATACACTTCACGAACTGCCGATAGATTTCTATCGTTTACATTTTTTTGCAGTCAGAAACCTTATTACTGAGCGCACTCGCCGATTTCAATTAACGCAGACATTTAAACCGTCACGATCTGAACTGACGCCGAACCTCTCACTAGCACGCTAGATGCAGACTGAGCTGCGCAACGCTCTCAAATTCGATCTAATCGTCTCACTAAACCAAGTGCCTTACATTTTTCCTCAAGTTTGCATATTTTATCAGAAATCATTAATTGTTTTAATGTTTCAAAGTCATTTACCCTTCTCAGTTTCAAATAATAATCCCAACTCATAGTTAATCTAGACACGAACTGCACATAAGTTTCATTCGTTATTCGTTGTGTCTTCCTAAAATTTTCTAAACAAATTTGGGGGGGTGGTTCAAATTCTCTTAGCACTATTTCTTTAACCTTTGAATAATCTCCTAATTCATAATCTTTAATGTATGTAATGACATTTGTGGCTTTTTCTCCCAACAAATTTAGAAGACTTTCTGATTTAAATTTCTCTGGAACACTTTTTGAAATGAATGCCTTTTCTAACGATGAAAAGAAATAATCCCAACCTTCCGGTCTAACTGGAATTTTAATTGTTAATGTGCATATACTTTTAATAAGAGAGTCAAGAGATTCTACATTTTCTTTTTTCTCATATTCTATGAGGTTTTCACTCTTTGATTCTGCTCGCAACTTCGCGAGTTCTAGTTCCGATTTCAATTTCTCAAGTTCGAGCAATCGTCTCTTGTCACTTTTTCTTTTGTCAATAATATTATTTCCTATACCTCCAACTAATACAGGGTCATTTTTATACCTTTCACTGTTTTTGATTATATCAATTAAATCTGATATAGTTTTTGCTTCTGTAATGTCTAAATTGAGCTTTACAGCAAGACGCTTATAATCTTCCTTTTTTGCAGTTTTAAACATTTTGAATCTACTTTTTCAATTACACAGTTATTACAAGTAAGGCCACGTACCTTCTGTTTAAGAGTAAACTGCAAGCTTTCCTTCCATGACACTTGTCTTCTGACTTTGACACACATTCGAACTCCGCCTGGGTAAGGACCAACATTGGGCCCTCAATAGCTCAGTAAAACTCATAATTAAATAACTCGCTTTATACAAGAACTAAAAAAAAAAATGGACTGTGTAAAAAAATTTATTAGTTACACAAAAAGCCTCATAGTTAGTTCACATCTCTCGGCGGCATCTCGGAACACACTAAAAACTCAATACTACTGGCCGCAAGGTGGCGCTATAAACAAACATCAGCGTCATCATTTTAGAACACAAATATTACATATTTTTCACAGATGGCGCCTCAGGCGTCAACATTCTTTATTAAACAAAAACTACATTTACCTCTGAGAATGCAAATTGTTTTGTTCTGTTTTGCAAAAATTAGCAATTTATCAACATTTTGGTGATTTGAACATTAATTTGTCTGCAAAATGTTTTACTCAGAAGTTTTCAAATTTTTTGATAATTTTCTTTAAAAATATATTAACATTGTTAGGATAACACTAAAATAATGAAAATATATTAATGTTTTTTTTTTTTAAGAAAAGTAACATTAACGTAAAACATTTTTGTAGCTTTCATGCCACACATTGAAATGACTTCACCTTTCATTTTGCTGACTTATGACTATTAGGATTCTAAAAAAAATAATAAATGTTGTAAGGATCATTTTCCAAATCAAGTTTGTCTAAAAGCAAAACGGCTATATATTTTTAAATTAATTTCTTTTATCTACTTTTGCATTTTTATAAGAGTTTTTCTCTTGTAATTGTTTCAAAATACTCCTATATTAAAACATATGTAAGTTTCCTTTGTAAAATTCTATTTATGTATGAGTTTTTTTTTTAATCTATTGATTTTTATTCTTACAAAGCTGCCAAGTCTGGGATACCTGTTGAAGCACTTTTTTTCTCGGATTATAAAATGCTTAAAAGTTTAAATTTGAAGGCAAAATTTATAAATCTAGGATTATTGAGTAAAAATGCAGAAAAAGACTATGATAAAATAAAGAATGCATTCTTAGTGTTGACATGTAATAGATATAGTTTGCAAAAAGATTGTGTTGAATTTCCATTATTGTTCAGAAAATGTTTGGAAAAAGTAATGGAAACAAAACTGTTTGAATTTCTGCTTTTGATCCCAGAAAGCTTTCTGTTAATATATTTCTCTTTCTTTTCATGATTTTCACTGTTGGAAACTAGAGAAAATAGTAAAAATTATTCTAATTTTTGTCACATGAATAGATAATTGTCAGAAAAAACTTCATTTTTTCCCCTTCCGCTGCAGGCACTAGTAGGCTTTCCACTACTACAGTCAAAAGTCGTTAATCCGGATTCGTCGGGACTTCAGCGATTCTGGATTATCGATTTTTCCGGATTATAGATCATCAGTTTAAATCTGGTAAGATGGCATGCAGATATTATAAAATTAAAAATATGAAACCATAATTTATGAAATAAGAACAATTTGATCTAAAGGTATCAAAATTTACAAAAAAAAAAAAAAAAAAAAAAAAAAAGCTATATTTATTTGTTTACTTTATTAAACTTTCTTTCAATTTAATTTTTAAGGTTGCTTCGTTTTTATGTGATCATCAAAAGTCTTAATTCGGAATGATCTATATCCGGACCTCAAAACTAAAAACTTCTGCATGCGGCGCGTTGACACATGCGCATAGGGTTTACACGTGCGCTAAGACCTTTTATGAGCGCATATGAGTGTGCGCAAGTGCAGAATACGTTTTTCGTGTGTGCGTTTTATGTATGATGGATGTATAAGCTAAAAATCTATTATCTATTTCAGTTAATGTTGATGATTGCGTTGTTCCTTATTTTCGAATTGGATCCGGCTTATTATTTTTTGCAGACTGTTAAGAGCAATTATAAAAGTAAGCTTAAACTTTCGATTATATCAAAAGAATTTCCGATATATATTTGTTAATATGTAGGATCTAAAGCGAAAGTATGTTTTGAAATCCGAATCTGTTTATCAATTTCACGCTGCTCGGCGGGGGGATCGCTGCGGCGGGCGCGTAATGAATTGGAAGTTGATCTGTCAGCCTATCCTTATCTTCAGCGCAGATGTTTTATTTTATTTGGCTTATAATCCTTACCAAATGTAGTATTTCATCTCGATAGCTCTGTCTTTCATATGATAATTCCTCGTCATTATAATTCGCTTTCGATAGCGAGAAAGTAACAGAGGTTATTGAAAACGAAAAAATTTCGATTGACAAATTAGTCGGTGTTCTCGACACAGCAATTATGGACTTGAACAGCGGAACTTTGTAACTGAACAAAATTATTTCTGTTTACAAATTAAAGAGAAAGTATTATCACATGAAACGAAGCAAAACTTAAACAACTTACATGAAAGAAATGTTTAATAAAGTAAACAAATAAATATTAAGCTTTTCTTTTTTGAAAATTTTGATACCCTTTAGATCATAATTGTTCTTTATTTCATAAATTACGGTTTCATATTTTTAATTTTAGAATTTTGCATGCCATCTTCCAGATTTAAACTGATGATCTATAATCCGAAAAATCATAATCCGGAATCGCCGAGTCCCGACGAGTCCGGATTAACGACTTTTGACTGTAATACTTACTCTTTAATTCTATAAACAGGCATAATTTCTTGTTCAGTTACAAAGTTCCAATTTCTTGTTCAGTTACAAAGTTCCAATTTCTTGTTCAGTTACAAAGTTCCACTGTTCAAGTCCTATAATTGCTGTGTCAAGAATACCGACTAATTTGTCAATCGAAATTTTTTCGTTTTCAATAACCTCTCTGTCACTTTCTTGATGATCGGAAGCGAATTATAATGACGAGGAATTTGATTTAAATCATATCAAAGACGGAGTACATTGAGATGAAATACTGCATTTAGTAAGGAATTATAAGCCAAATAAAATAAAAACATCTGCATTGAAGATAAGGATAGTGCTGACAGATCAACTTCCAATTCGTTGCGCGCTGTGGCATTCCCCTCCTCAACCCGCCGCAGAGCAGCGTGAAATTGATAAACAGATTTCGGAATGGTTAGAGAAACAAAGGATATGCTTTTATATTTTTTGCAGCAATTCCACTTTTTGTTTGATGGACATCGAAACATACTTTTCGCTTTGTAGATCCTTTGGGAGCTCCAGCATCGGAAATTCTATTTGACATAATCGAAAGTTCAAGCTTGCTTTATAAAATTGCTCTAACAGTCTCAAAAAATAATGAGCCGATCCATTAGAAGATTAAGGAACAAAGCAATCCGCAACATTAACTGAAATAGATAATTAGATAATTTTAGCTTATACCGTCCGTTATACATTAAACGCGCATGCGTAAACGTATTATGCGCACGCGTACACGCATATGTGCAGCCATAAAGGTCTTATGCACATGCGTCGCATGCGCAGAAAGTTTGTAGCTTTGAGGTCTGGATTATAGATCATTCCGGATTATGGGTGTCCGAATTAACGACTTTTGACTGTACTAACCATTGGTCATTCTATTACGGATGCACCTAATAGGAGACCACAGTCATCTTCTATGAAGGGAAAAACAATGTACATCCATGTCTTCTTTGGGATTCACACCTGGGGCTTCTGGCACTGCAGTAGGCTCCCCTAAGCACTATGCTCTCTGGCCGTCTGGGTCAGAAGAAACTTCTATGTAAATAAAAACAGTGAAAACTGAGAATTTAAATATCTTAGTACATTATATTTCATTTCATACACTTTCCTGGAGTTATTCTGAATATTAATTTTATCAAAGAAATAACATCAACAGCTTCAGATTATCCTAAATTCATGCAGGTTTTTAGAACAAGAATTGCTAAATTTGAGAATTCAGAAATGCAGCTTACTGAATAAGAAGTTAAGTACATGATGGAAGAATTTTCCTTGTTTTGTTGGTTTTGTTGGTTGTTGTTGAGGTGTTTTGTTGATTATATTAACAAAATGGCAGATGAAGTGAAGACTAAAACACACTTTAATATTTTCATGGATATTAATCCATGAAATATTAAATTTCATTAAAAAATTTCATGCATTATAGATGTTTAGTACTTTTAATATATACTTTTTTATCATTGTCATTTTAAAATTTTAAAATCATGCTATATCATGTATCTGTAATTATCTGTTATTTTAAGCTTTAAAATTGCCTTAGCTTGTGATTTTGATAGTGCTTTTTAAAAGAATATTAAAAAAAAAGAGAAAAACTTTTTAAGTAGTGACCAAGTAAATCTTTCTCCTCCCCTCCAACTTTTTTTTCCTAATAATGTATGTGCAACTATTACAAGCATAAAATATGAATATTTGAAGAAATTAAACTCCTGATTTAGTGGTGAATACTTAGTTGGTTTACTTTTACATTTGTTTTACAGTTGGTATTAAATATTAGATTATGATTAAATTTAATAACAATGCATCCTATCTATACTTCTGTTTTCTTCTTAGATTCTATGCATACTTCTATTCATGTAATAGAATGATATTGCATGAATGAAATCAGTTGTGTAGATAATAGCTTTAATCTAGTAATAATTAATGATAATTAATTAGTGATAATTTTGTATAGATAACAGCTTTAGTTTACATAATATCCATATTTTTTTTCATTGATGGTCCGTGAACATCTCTAATTTTCAAGTACAACAACGTGTACAAATTCTGTTTGAGTGATGGGCTGCATGAAAGTTGGCGCAAAGAACCTATGACTGTCCCACTAGCTCGGGCTGCAAAATCACCTAGTTGTAATGGTGCAGAGATTGTTATTGGAGTACCACCAGTTGGAATTAAGTTCTCCCTACTAATGAATCTTGCTTGTTTTGGGAATGAATTTTATGCGCGACTGGCCTACTGCATATATGAACTGTGCAACTAGGAATGCTGAAATATTCAGAGATTAGATTCTTAATTCTTTCGTCAAGTTATTTAGAGGGGTGAAACCGATATTCCTCCTACTGGATGATAGTGCTGATACCCATTGTACTTGAATTGAAAGAATCTAGCATAGCCATCCAGATGGTATAGTAGTTAGGGGAGCCTACTGGTGTACCGAAGGGCTCGGGTTTAAATCCTGGAGAAGACATGGATGATCGTAAATGTATAGTGCCTTCGTAGCATAGGGGCACTTTACATATATGGCGAGCCAAAAGTCCTCTCAAGAGGTAAGGGAAGAGGGGTGGGAGACCGCTCCTGCTCAGGATGCTGTCTATAAAAATTGGAAGCAGAATGGAGCGAAGTGGTACTGTCAACTGTATGGTGCTTAAGGCAATATGTATGGTGCTCTTACCAATGACAGGCGCAATCTTGCTCTCCTTGCCACAATGAATTTCATGGTGTTGTTCTGATATTACCATCAGACAGGTGATATAAATCACAACAATACAACAGTCACAGAATCTAGCGGATGGAGAGGCAAGCATATTCTTTGGGTTTAAATCCAACAGAACACATGTGAAATGCCTTATAATGCCAACTTGTATCATAGCAGCAACCACTGAGCTTTTGTCAGGGAGGACCACAAACCTTAGTTTTCCATAAGTACTTGTAAAACGTTTTTTCTAACCCACTTTATTTCATATATCCCGTGTCCTTATTTAAATTTCTTTTTTTGCAAAAATGGGCAATACTGCTTTTTGAAGATATGTCAGGCATGATAAAATAGAAATCTTGTGTAATTTTCATGTTTTTAGCTGCAAAATCATTGATGTTACATGGGTTTTTATAGTTGTTCTTTTAATTTTTTCCACCAGTATATTTAATATAATAAAATGCCATTTAAAACAACTGTATTATGAAATATTTTTTCTCTTAAAATTACTATAGCTAGATCACTTGTAGTTGGGCTGTTGATTTATAATTTTCAGTTTTCGTGTGCATGTGAAATGAGTTTGAGGAACTATGGAACAACAAAAACTTTGTTTCTAGAAACTTAAATATATCGGGTTATCATCTATTTATCTTACAAGAGATGGAAATCTAAAAAAGCTTTAATTTTTAATAACAAAAATTTTAAAATAGCCAAAATAGCCTTATGGATTAAATATTTTTCAAAAGAGTTTATTTGGTAAATAAAATATATGAGAAAATCAATAGTGAGTTAGGTAGACCTTCTCTTATGCATAAATGAAACTTAATACGAAAGTACTTATATTTTAAATGATACGTATGATTTCCGTGGATCTATTGGGAGTAACAGTGCCAGTGAAATTTGTCTCGCTGTTATGACCATGTTAACCATACAGGCATTTGTACTGAAAGTAAATTGTATTGTAATACTAATCACTTGCACCTTTTTGTTTTAATACTTATGCATAATAAATTTTCAGGTATAATTTAGTGCATTGAAAGGAGTAAATTGATAAATATTTAAATGAAAGGATAGAAGGAAGTAAGT